TATTGATTTCAGAGAGAGGAAGGGAGAGGGAGAGATAGGAACATCAATGATGAGAGGGTCATTGATCGGCTGCCTCCTGCATGCCCCTCACTGGGGATGGAGCCTGTAACCCAGGCATGTGCCCTGACCAGGAATCAAACCTTGATCTCCTGGATCCTAGGTTGATGCTCAACCACTGAGTCACACCCAGCCGGGCAGGGCAACACTTTCTTGTCTTTAGCTTATTGCAAGAATACAGTGTATAATATCACATCAGTAGACTATTAGTAGTTAAGTTTTTGGGGAGTCAAAGGTTATACTTAGATTTTTGACTGCATGGGGTTTAGCACCCCTAACCTTTGCATTGTTCAAGGGTCAACTGTAAAATTAGTTCACTAGTCTTTTCTCTCTAAACTGACTAAAAGTTGTCTTAATGTTAAGTAAAAATTGCTTATGTTTATTGTAGAATGTTTAGAAAATGCAAAAGTGAAGAGAAAATAGAAAAATCACTAAAATGAAAAGTTGATTTTTCTTTATGCATATGCTCTAACAAAAATAGGATATGGCCCTAGCTTGTTTGACTCAGTGGTTAGAGCATTGGCCCCCACGACTGAAGGGTCTTGGTTCGATTCTGGGCAAGGGCATGTGCCTTGGTTGCAGGTTCAATCCCCAGCCTTGGTCAGGGTGAGTTCGGGCGGCAGCCAATTAATGTGTCTCCCTCACATTGATGTCCCTCCCTCCCTCCCTCTCAAAATATCAATGGAAAAAATACCCTTGGGTGTCAACAACAAAAAGCTGAGGGGGCTTATTTAAGCAGGGGAGACAGCGCTTTGTCACTTCTTTTCATTGTTTTACTGTACTCTGTATAGGAATTGTGATATATGATAGTTCTAGATGTAGTTTAAAGTAATTGAGACTGTTCTCACATTCATGTGTAGGACTTGAGAATGTTGAAGAGATTATTATACTGACTTGGTCAATATGCTATTACAGTAAAACCTCGATATAATGGACTAATTTGGCCGAGGGGATGTCCATTAAGGCCGAAAGTGTTATATAATAAAGTAGGGTTTTTCGAATGTGTATGTTAAGAAATTTACAAATTAGTTTACAAGTTTCTACTTATGTAGACACATTTGTGTAATTAAAATTAAGTATGTATGAAAAGTTTAATTTCATAGAAAAGCTTTCTACGTGTATTACTGTACTTTTAAATTCATACTGAATAGATCTAGTAAATGCGTACATTCACCAGTCTCCTTGAGTAAAAAAATGCACACAACTGGGGCGTGGCTTAGTGCACCTCCAAACATGGCCATCACGCATTAAAACTGCTTTGGAAAGTCATGCCACAGGCCAACAGAACCAATTATTGCTTGATATACGGTGTGATCACGTGCTAATCATTCGTGGAACGTTGTTTACAAGCGGTGACTCTTGGATTTAAATAATGTAGACTAGAGTTGTGGACACGTGATATTTGTGTCAATGAAATTTCTAGTGTTTTTTCCTCCAACATATGGCTTACTCCCTAAAATTTGTTAAAAATAACAGTGAATTAATAACAAAAAAATCTTGTTAATTTAATTATAAGCAAATCTTGGTTAAAAGCTTTTTAAAATTAACGGGCTGTTAATTTTTATGTAGACTTACAGACTGGAAATTTTATCTGTTAAATCTGAAGTTCGTTAAATCGAGGTCCTCAAAATCGAGGGTTTACTGTAATTATAATAATCTGGAACCATTATTGATACCAAAAATTATTTTCCGAATGCACTTTGTCTTATACAAAAATAGAATAACTCCCCCACTCCTTTTAGATCTTTGATGGTTTTGTTAGAATCCTGAGAAATGCAAGGAATCTGTAATTCTCATGAGGGGAATTACAACTGCTTCCTGGAACTAATGTATCTGGATGTTGCTCAAACTGTGTTGAAGCCTCCTATTGTTTTAATGATTAGTTTCACTGCTTCTTCAGTCCAGGGAGTGAGTATAATGTGCATGTTTGTAAAGTTACCCTTCCATATCATTTAAGAGAAAAAGATGATCATGTCTAGCACTAGGAAGCAACCTTTTTAAAATTTCTTTCCATACCTTTTCTATCTAGAGAAATTCTTTTTATCCATACCTTTTCTATCTGATCTTCAAAAACAAGTTTCCATTTCCAGATAGACTTGGTTGTGTAACCTCAAAACTTAAAGTCAATTGTGTAAGTTCTCTACCCATCTGAACAGTGGAAATCTCAAAAAAAACTGTTAGAGATGAGTGATTTTCTCCCCTATAGAAGCCATGTTGCCATTGTCCAATGTCAATTTATCTTAATATATATATATTTAATATATCTTTATTGATTTCAGAGAGAGGAAAGGAAGGGGGGGAGAGAGGAATAGAAACATCAATAATGAGAGACTCATTGATCGAGCCCACAACCAGGCCATGGGCCCTGACCGGGAATCGAACCCCGATCGCCTGGATCCTAGGTCGACACTCAGCCGCTCAGCCACACCCGGCCGGGCTTAATATATTTTATATGAGTTTTACTTTTTAAAAATTTCTTGATTGATTTTAGAGAAAGAGAGGGAGGCGGGGAGGGAGGGAGAGACAGACATCGATTTGTTGCTCCACTTACTTATGCATTCATTCGTTGATTCTTATATGTGCTCTGACCAGGGATTGAACCCGCAACTTTGGTGAATCGGGATGATGCTTTAACCAGCTGAGTTACCTGGCCAGTGCCTATCTTAAATATTTAACCCTTTTAGAAATATTGTTTAGATTGATCAATGCTGTTAATTGAGTGGGGTTTTTTGTTTTCAGATTTGCATTGCTGACAAGTTTCTTAGATCTATAGTTTCTTGGTTCCTGTTGGAATTACTTTCTAGTTCCTCCTATCTTTCTTTCCCCTCCTGTGATGAGTTAATTATCTACAATAGGTTTTGGACTTTTACATACTGACACTTCGAAGCACAGAGTGCTAATTAGTAATAAACACTTTTTGAGGTCTTCTTGAATTTTGATGTATCCTTTGAGTTATGCCTTGGAATATCTGTCAGGGTGGGAAATAGAAGGTTGGAAAGTTGAAGATGTTTTATTCTTTTCTGCACTAGGGCTTTTGAGCAAAAACTTGATATTGAATCCAGGCTTATTTTATTTTTGAATTCATGATTAAGAGCCAAAAGTGAGATCTATAACTATTTTAAATTTTCTTTGGAGCAGTGTTTCTCAGGGAATTTGAAAGTGGGGCATTTTTGGTGTCAGAGTGGCACGGGGGTACTGTTGGTATTAATGGAAGGGAGCCAGGCATACCGTATGTCCTGAATGTGGGGACAGCCCTGTACACTGATGTGTTGTTCTCAGATGCCGTTAACATCACGATTGAGAAGCCCTAGGGATAGAACATTAAAGTTTATGCCAGATACATTCATATCTGGTAAGATTAGGCATGTTCATGAATTAAACTTACACATTCTTTTTTTTTTTTGAGGTATAACTGACATGCAGTAAACTGCATATATTTACAAAATGTTCAAGTTGATAAATTTGAATGTGTGTTACGCCTGTGAGCCCATCACCACAATGAAGACAGTAAACATGTCTATTACACCCAAAAGTTTTCTCCTCCCCTTTGTAGTTTCTCCTGCATCTCTCCTGCCCTCAGCAATCTCTGATTTGCTTGCTGTAACTGTATATTAGTTTGCATTTTGTGTACTTTAATGCAAATGAAATCATACAGTGTGTACTCTTTTTATGCCTTCTTTGAGCATAATTGTGAGATTCATCCATGTCCTTGTGTATTATTAATAGTTCATTTCTTATTGATGAGTAGCATTCCATTGTAAAACACAGTAATTTGTGTATTCATATTCACCTGTTAATGGACATTTGAGTTGTGTCCACTTTTGGGTTTTTAAAAAGAAAGCTGTTTACAAACTTTTATGTGGACGTATGCTTTAATTTTCTTGGGTAAACACCTAGGGATAGAATAGCTGGATAACAGATAGGTGTATGTATTTCTGTTAAAGAAACTGCCCAACTGTTTTCCAAAGTGGTGTACTGTTTTATGCCTACCAGCAGTTTCTCCACATTCTTGCCAGTCTTGATCTGGTCAACCTTTTTAATTTTAGCCTTTTTAGGTGTGTAGTGATATCTCATATTTTTAATTTCTATTTCATCAGTTACCAGTGATGTTGAGCATCTTTTCATGTTTATTTGTCATCTGTATATCTTCCTTGGTGAAGTGTGTGTTCAAATCTTTAGCTCGTTTTCAAAAATAAGGTGTTTTTTTTTATTTTAAATTAATGAATTTTACAAGTCCTTTTCAGATAAGTGCTTTGCAAATATTTTCTTTTAGTTTGTGGGTCGTCTTTTCATTCTTTTCACAGTGCCTTTTGGGAAAAAAAACAAGTGGTTTGTTTTGTTTTGATGACATCCAGTTTATTAATTTGGTCTTTTGTGGATTGTGCTTTTGGTGTCATTAGAAATATTTGCCTAATCTGAGCTCATCAAGATTTTCTCCAGTGTTTTATTACATAAGTTTTATGGTTTTAGAGTATACATTTAATCAATGTCTTGAGATAATTTTCATTTATGGTGTGATATTTGGATCAAAGTTTTTTTTGTTTTTTTTTTTTTGGCAAATGGGTATCCATTTATTTTAGCACTGTTTGTTTGAAATATTATTTTTCCCCCGTGAACCTTTGTCAAAAATCAGTCATCCTTCTATCACAAGTCATGAAGTGAAGTATTGTTAGCTTTCAATTTTTTTATTTTTTTATTTTATTGGTGCTTTGGCTTTTCTAGGCAATTGCATTTCCGTATGAATTTTAGGTTGAAATTGTCAATTTCTACAAAAAAGCATGCTGGGATTTTGACTGGGATGGTGTTGAAGCTATACGTCAGTTTACCATTTATTTAAATCTTCTTTAATTTCTCTCAGCAATGTTTTCTAGTTTTCATGGTTTTTTACATGTTTTTTCAGATTTATTTCTAAGTATTAATATTTTTGGTACTATTTTAAAATGATATTTTTAAAACTTGCTCTCCAATCAGGTCTTGTCCAATAAGCATGTGGCTCCTGATCATCTGTTGCAAATCTGCCAGCGCATCGGTCCCATGTTGGATAAAGAAATTCCACCCAGTATTTCAAGAGTCACTTCTTTACTTGGTGCAGGAAGGCAGTCTTTGCTACGTACAGCAAAAGGTACCTTAATTTGAAGAAGTGTTCTGCTTTGTATTACTAGCTTAATAATTATTATAATTGTGAAGTAATGTGAGCATTGTGGAAGAAAGGTGATATGTAACTATACACCATGCTGTGGACTATAAAATTCTCTGCATTTAGCATAGACATTGAATTTTATTACATAAGTGTTTAATGGGTCCTTCTGCATTTAAAAACAATGAAGGTATAGATGTTAAGCTAAAAAGTTTGAATTTATTCTGAGATGTGTTTTGAGGTTTTATCAATGTGAGTTCTTAATTTTCCATTTTGTAGCTCACTTACAACTTCGTTGAATGTAATTGTATGTGTCTAATAAACTCTTTAAATGCTAGAAGTATTTCATTTGATATTTAGGTCTTTGAAAGCCCTTTGTTATAAAGGGGAAGTGATTTTCTAAATTTGGTAGCAGTTTGAAAAAAAGCACCCAAAATGTATAATTGCATGGTTCTTTTTTCTCACCAACTTAATTTTTTTGCTAAGTTATGTGGTAGTAAACTGTTGGAATTGCTGTTCTTTTTCTGTTAGCTTGGTATAAATCACTTAGACTAAGTATATGTGTATGATATGATCTATGTATAAAACATGGCTTACCTGCTAATGGGCAAGAATGTTGGCTCTCTTGATCTTGAGCATACGTCAAGTTCATCCCCCATGATTATTTTTAAGATCTGTTGCTGATGTGATGTTGCCTTAGATGTACCACCAGTATAAAGCTTGACTGAGAAAGAACTACCTTCCCTCTTGGTTCCATACCAGACTGGTTTTTCAGCTTTAGTTGTCTGTTAGTGCTCTATGGCCATGCCACACTGTGGCTTGAGTCAGGAAACTGTTCATATTCTTCCTCCTTCTGTGTCCCTATTCACCTTGTAATTATTCTGTTTTAGGTTGTTATATAGTGGTTGCCTGGGTAGCCTGTTTTCTTTACTTGTGTCAAGCTCAATGTCATTTTGTGATGAGCACTGCTTTAGAACTGACAGACCTTAGAAGAGACTTCAGCAAGCTGTCCTAGGGGTAGGGACCATATTTCTCCGTTTTTTCTGTACTCACTAGTGCCATGGGAGGATGCCTGGTAACTGCTCTTTGATCATGATAGTGGTAATGAATCCATTCATGTAAAACGTAATATGCCTGTTAGTTTGGGGCACCCGAGGCTCAGTGGAGGTTTATTTAGTAGGATGCCTTCCTTCCCATCCTCTTTCAGTTGTGAAGAAGCTAATTTCTAGCGCAGTGTAATCTATATTCTGCTCTCTCCTATAGAGGGGCAGACATCTTTTCTTGGTATATATTTACTGGTAGGTCAAAGAGGGATGGGATGTTAGAATAGTGTTCAGACTCACAGATCCTACGTATGTGCTCTTGTGTAAAGATCAGCTATGACCCTTAAACAAGAGGAAAGCCATTTAATTTTGTCAATATTTCCGAAGGAGATTAAAGTCATGGTAATATTGGCCAAAATTAATTTTAAAACTCAATAACATTTAAATAGTTAATTAAGGATTTTCAGGTAAATCAAAGAAATTAAAAATTTCCTTGCAAAAATTTCCATTTTTGGAAAGTTGGATCAGTTGTGATTAAGACTTTTAATCATTAATATTGTATGCTATAATTCCACATAAAAATAAAAACTTATTTGGCATTGAATGGGACTTGGAGTCAAAAGATCTGGTTTTGTGGTCCATCTTGACTAATCATTTGCAGTGGATCTCTTTAAAGGTCCTGGAACCTTTGAGCCTCAGTTACCTCACTTGTAAATTGGCGACTAATACCTACCTCACAGGGTTGTTGTGAGGATTCCATGAGATAATGTATGTGGAAAGCACTTTGTAAATTGTAAAGTGCTACACAATGTTAGTTGTCGTTATTGTATCTGAGATGTCTTAAATTTTTTTCCCCTTCAGAAATAGTCTAATAAAGTTCTAGGGCTTTTCTGTTAAAGTATATTAGTTGGTAAAACTTTGAATAAACAGTTTATTAAAATATACGTAAGTATTCTATAAAATCTTTCTTCGGGTTAACTTTCAAGATTTTATGTGTATCTAAAATTCATTTTAAAGACTGCAGGCACACAGTTTGGAAGGGCTCTGCCTTTGCTGCTCTTCATAGAGGAAGACCTCCTGAAATGCCGGTGAATTATGGTTCCCCACCAAATCTTGGTAAGTGAGGCTGGCTTTTTGGATGCCTGAAACCATTCTTTTAATTTCTTGGTCAACTTTGTAACTGCTGTGTTAAAATTTAAAAGAAAATACTGGTGGTAGCATTGTTTCAGTAGTAACAAGGATCAATTTTCACGTTTGTTTTCCTAAAATATTACTAAAAGTAATAAAAATTAATTAAAAACGATTTTATTATAATAAGAAGTCTGTACCAATGATTATAGTAGTGCAGAACGGGGAAGAAATTTGTGTCCTTAGGATTTCTTGAACATAGATTTTTGTTTTGGGGCTTCTCTTAGCTTTTTACATACTGGCACCCCCTTAACCATTTTTGTTGTTTTTATTTCCTAGTGGAGATACATCGAGGCAAACAACTCACAGGGTGTTCCACTTTTAGCACAGCATTTCCAGGAACTATGTACCAGCATATAAAAATGCACAGAAGGATTCTTGGACATCTATCTGCTGTTTACTGTGTAGCATTTGATAGGACAGGACATAGAATCTTTACAGTGAGTTAACATTTTTAAACTCAATTTGTTATCATCTGGAGCACTTTGGTGTTCATCAGAATCTTTTAAGAAGTCTTATACAACCCATAGGTTCTGTGTTTCTCAGTCTTAGGATTTTGACTCAGTAGGTCTGGTGTGGGGCCTGTAAATTGCGTTTTTATTTAGTGTCCCAAGTGATTCAGATGCAGGCCTTGTGTTGTGGTTGTGAGATATTTATGTTTTTATCGATTTCAGAGAAAGGGAGAGGGAGAGAGGTAGAAAGATCAATGATTAGAGAGGCATTGATTGGCTGCCTCCTGCACGTCCCCTACTGGAAATCAAGTCCACAACCCAGGCATGTGCCCTGACCAGGATTCGAACTATGATCTTCTGGTTCATAGGTAGATGTTCAACCACTGAGCTATGCTGGCTGGGTGAGGCATTGATTTAGAGCAGTGGTTCTTGGGCATTATCATTAAGGATGCTTAAAAATATTCATCCCTAATACTTCCTCAGTCTATTCTAATCTAGACTTACTCAGGTTAATTTCTACTATGCGTATTAACGAAAATCAAACCAAACCCCTCCCACAAATATCCGACTCTCCACAGGTTATTCGTATTCACGTTGAGTACTCACTGATCCAGGGAAATCGATTACTTGAACATTGAAATATTGTTTTATTCTTATAAAGCTATATATAAGTATTTGGAATTTAATTTTACATTTTTTATGTTTTAAGGGAAAATTAGGATGGGTAAGAAGTTCAGATTTTATTTCTCAGTTGTGAGATTCAGAGTAGATACTCTACTCACATATTTATGGAATGAATGGATGTTGACTGGTACTATAAATTTTAGACTCTTGGTTATTTTTTTGCGTTTTTCTAAGTATTTTTAATTGTTAGACCTATTTATGGCTCACTTCTATTTTTCTTTTTTTATCTTTATTGTTGAAAGTATTACAGATGTTCCCTATTTTCCCCCATTGATCCCCTCCACCCCACCCCCAGGCCTTCCCCATGCCAATGTCTGTGTCCATGGGTTATGCATATAAGGATTTAAGTTCTTGATTAATCTCTCCCCATCCACTCCCCCACCCCCACCTTCTTTCTGAGATCCCTCAGTCTGTTCCATGTTTCTATGTCTGGTAGACTCTTGGTTATTTAAAATGAAGGTGCTAGTCCCATTATTTTTTAGTTGTTTTGGGAACAACTACTCTTGTATTTCATCCTGTGAAATGTAGATCTGTCCTGACACCAAATTACTTAGCTTGACATGGACTAAACTGACATTTAAAAAATATATATATTTTTATTGATTTTTAGGGAGAGAAGAAGGGGGGGGGAGAGAAACATTGATCAGTTGCCCTCCCGTAGGCACCCAGACCATGGCTCGAATCTGAAACCTGGTTTATGTGCCTTGACTGGAAATTGAGTGGTGACCCTTCCATGCATGGGGTGACGCTCAACCAACTGAGCCACAGGGACCAGCGCAAACTAAACTGACATTTAACCATTGTAATTGAAATAGGCGAGCCATGAACTTTTATTGGACTTAGTAGTTGGCAGAGAATTTTGAGAAGGTAGTTTTTATATTTGATCTGATCCATAGAAATGAAAACTTCACAATATCTTTATGTAGACATTCTTTGATTTGAAGAAAAGCTGTTTATAAATGTTCTCAGCAAGAGAGGATGAGTTTTAGACACTTAATTTGAGTGACATGTAAATAGTATTTTAAATGATGTAAAAGACTTCTGTATTAACATTTATTTTGGGTGTTTTTTTAGGGTTCAGATGATTGTTTGGTGAAGATTTGGTCAACACACAATGGCCGCCTATTATCCACATTAAGAGGTCATTCTGCAGAAATTTCAGATATGGCAGTAAACTATGAGAATACAATGATTGCTGCAGGGAGCTGTGATAAAATAATTAGAGTGTGGTGCTTGAGAACTTGTGCCCCAGTTGCTGTGCTCCAAGGACACACGGGGTCAATTACATCTTTACAGGTAAACTAGCGTTCATGGGCACATTTGTATATTATCTCCTTTCCTTTAAAACTCTTTCTCTTTGGAGATGAGAAATAGTAAGATGCTTAGTAATTATATGATCTAATTTTAAATTTAGTAATCAAGAAAAGGTGTAATTATACTTCCATGAATCTTGGAAGGGTGATTTAATAAATATGTAATGCGGTTAGAGCTTTAATTTCAGGCTTAATGGATGACTTATTGCTTTATTTAGGTTTATGGTTGAACTGAATGAGTCAGTTACAAACTGGTGATAGGTTAATGATTTTTCTACTTTAAAATTTGTGGATTTTGTTAAGCTAATTAATTTTCTGAAGTATATTTAAACTCAGTTTTAGTCCATATTCTAGAACTTCGATTTAAATAGTCACATTCAACATTTAAACCCTTCATTTTGTATGCTTGACAAGATGGAGCTTGGAAGAAGCTTCTTCTTTGAAGTCATAGGTTAAATCCTACCTCCCTTACAAAGTATATAATCTTGGGGAAAAATAATAAAACAAATAATAAACTATTACTGTCTGAGATGTTATAATGATAAATATGAGAATCATCTAAAACCCCACCAAAACCAATTCTTCATATTTTCTGCTAATGGCAGTACTGGCCTTCTTTGCTAAGCTCCTTCTCTTGAATGTCTTGTGTGTCAGCAAGTTGTGTTGCTTCTTTCTTCCTGGCTTTCCTCCCCATTCTGGGGGAAGGAAAGGTTAAGGTTCTTAGGTTAATTGGATTAATTGGATTGATTTCTTGGCTCTTTTATCTTACCTGTTTCCTTTCAATCAGTATTGTATATTGCCATCAGACAAATCTTTTGGTTGCCTTCTGTGTTTTATATGATAATTACAGTTAACTCTTTAATTTGCTGTTGTTATTGGGCCCAGATTCTCTACCCATTTCACCACTTCCAAAAATGAACACTTCAGTCATGTAGGTCTTTCCATTGCTATCACATACCATATTCTCTATCACATTTCTACTTTTGTTCATATTATTTCTTTGCCTAGTATGTTTCTTGTTTTCTTTGTATTTTCCTCTTCATCTTTTAACCCTTCTTGGATATCTCTGGACCAGATCGAACTTCCTTTCTCTAGCTTATATAGCACAGTTGGTACTTTTTATTTTACTTTATTGTATTTTTTTACAAGATATGCCTTTATTGATTTCAGAGAGAAGAAGGGAGAGAGAGATAGAAACATCAATGATGAAAGATTCATTGATTGGCTGCTGCTTGCATGCCGTCCCTCCTGAGGACTGAGCCCGCAACCCTGACATGTGCCCTGACCGGGAATCGAACAGTGATCTGGATTATAGGTCGATGCTCAACAGCTGAGCCACACTGCCTGGGCTATACTTTATGAAATACAAATGTTAGCCCTATTCTGAAGTTAAAATTTAATTTTTGTATTTTTTTAAAACATATCTATATTGATTTCAGACAGAGGAAGGGAGAGGGAGAGAGAGAGAAACATAATGATGAGTCATTGATCGGCTGCCTCCTGCCGATTGAGCCCGAAACATGGGCATGTGCCCTGACTGGGAATTGAACCACGATCTCCTGGATTCTAGGTTGATGCTCAACCACTGAGTCACACCCAGCCAGGCAACTTTTGTATTTTCTTATATTAGTTTTATGGGGTTTAAAAATGTTTAAATTGTGATTCACTTGGAATTTAATCTGGTGTACAATCGAGGGTAGGTCCAGTTTTTCCCCTCAAGATTGCCGCACAGTTGTCCCTTTACCATTGATGCAGTGATTCATTGTTTCCCCAGCTGATTTGAGATGTCACCTTCGTCTTAAGTCTTGTATTAGTATCCAATTTGGAGTTTATATTTTTTCTGTTGGTCATTCTGTGAAAGTACCTACAGTGCCCCATAGTTTTGATTATTGAGGCTTGGTGATAGGCTTTCGTATTTAGAACTAGATCTTTACTTTCTCTTTGTAAAAGTTTTTCTGGCTCTTACTGGTTTTGACAATTTTTTTTCTGGGATCACATTATGTTTATAAGTTAATTTGAGATAGACTTTACTTTTTTATAGTTTATGCTTTTATTACAATAGTGTCACCTATATTTTTGGATTTCTTACATATTAGAATGTCAGTTGAAGTTAACTTTGAAAAACAGTTTAAACTACAACTTTAGTAGAAGCTCAGGAAACTGAGTTGTATATGTTATTGCTTTTTAGTTTAGCCCAATGGCCAAAGGCTCTCAAAGGTACATGGTCTCTACTGGTGCTGATGGGACAGTTTGTTTTTGGCAGTGGGATTTAGAATCCCTGAAATTCAGGTAAGTGACTTTAATTGTGTAATAAGTTTTCTTTTTTAATGTTATGATTTAGTCTAATGAAGTCTGGGCATAAAGAGAAATTATGGATTGTGGTTGCCTTTTTACTGACTACTTACTGTTTATAATTTGCTATTTAGGTGGTTGGATATGTAAAAGAAGCATAGCTATTCTTAGTGGGCACATTTTTGTGGGGAAAAAAGAGTATGTATGTGAAACATTTTGAAAAATATTAGAAATATGTAATTAGATACAGAGAAGTTTAGGTAGGATTATTTAAGAATCAGAAGACCTGTGCTGTCCAATATAGTACCTACTAGCCACATGTGATGATCAAGCACTTCAGATGTGGCTAGTGTAATTGAGGAACTGGATTAATTTATATTTAAAAACTGAGACTTGATTCAGTTATTATGAAACTTTTAAGCATATTTCAAACCATTTGAGTATATAAATTTAGTTTTTCAGCTGTAAGTTTTATGAAAACTATTTGATGAAAACATTCAAATAGAGATGCATTATAAGTGTTCAGTATACTTTGAAAGATTTCAAAGATTTAATGAGAGGAAAGAATCTAAAGTTCTCATTAAAATGTTATTAATACTGTTGTGATATTTCGGATATATTGGGTTAAATGAAATAAAACTTATTTCATCTCCTTTTACTGTGGCTACTTAAAAAATACAAAGTTACACATGCGGCTTGTATTCCATTTTTGTTGGACAGTACTCGACCCTGGTGGTTTTATGCCCTGCGCTGCAGCCCTGATGATGGGCTCACTTATACTCTGAGTTGTGGTCACCTCAGTTATAAGATGGGGGCCTGTCTTTCTGTGTAAGAGGATCGCTGTGAAGATGGGGATTAGACAGTCTTCCAGAATCCATCCAGCTACAATAGCATATGTGGAAATACTTGGTATACTGCGAGGCACTACAGAAATAACATAATAGTTAAATGTGCTAGCTTATAATGTGTAAGACTAATATATTTTAAAACATCATCTTTTATAGTCCACGTCCCTTAAAGTTTACTGAAAAGCCTAGACCAGGCGTTCAAATGCTTTGTTCTTCTTTTAGTGTTGGTAAGTACTTCTTTTAGTTTCATTTTAGCATTTATTGAATGACCACATTATTGTGAAGAGCCTTTATCAAATAGATGGTAAATGACTTATGTTCATTTCATTAGGTTTAATCTTTCATGTTCATTTTATTAGCCTTTTTCTTGCCTTTCACGCCTCCATTCTACCTTTTTCTGATTTTGAATAATAATCGGAGTTAGTGATGGAAGAGATTGCTGGCTAAAATGAGGTTCAGGGTGTCAGTGATTCCTGTGTCATGTATGCCCGGTGTATGATACACCAAAATTGGGATTTTCTTTTAACAGGCTAAACTATATTTTTGGTAGTTAAATTTGTTTTCCACACGTCTTGGTGAAATTATTCCCCATTTTCTCTAATGCCATGGCTGGTTCTCCTGGCAGTACCCCCCCACCCCGCCCTTAGGTGATTTCCAAAAGTCACGTTGTTAATATAAACTGGTGTGGTTGAAATGGGTTTGTTAAGAATATCAAGACACCTTTATCACTCTTATCACTTAGGAAATTCTGAAGGTTTTAGGAACTCTGTGCCATAAACAGGAATGAAGAGCAAATATATATTTACTATTACAAACCTCATATCAAACTATATTATATTCATTTAAAAATGTCTATATAGTGAATTGGAAAACGGATCTGTTGAGATAAACTTTTGGAATAAGAGATATTGCTTAATTTAATACAGACATTTGGTTTGTGGAGATATTTGTTATAAACCTTAACCTTTTTATTTCAGGTGGTATGTTTTTAGCCACTGGTAGTACCGATCATGTAATCAGAATGTATTTTTTGGGTTTTGAAGCACCTGAAAAAATCGCAGAACTTGAAAGCCACACTGTAAGTATTCGTGTTTTAAAATTCTGTAGGTTAATTTTAATAATGTTCCTGTTGGTGTATAGTCAAATATTGATAACAAATTGATTCTTTTTTAAAAAATTGAATTTATTGGGTTGTAATTTTAACTTAATTGTAGGAGGAATTGCATTTAAAGGTAAGGGATACTGACAACTCATATAGCACCTTGACAGTGCTACTATTTTCCAATGATTATTTCATCTTTAAGTCCAGAATTTTGATTATGACAGTTGATTTGGGTGGGTTAGGTTCAAGTGGCCTATTTATCTTAACCCAGCTCATGAAATCAGAGTGCTATTTTATTAATATATGTTAAGATATATAACTCAGTATTTTGAGTTAGAGATCAATCACGTCATGTTTTCTCCTAAGAGTTTTGTGAGGTTATTTGATAAACGTAAATTCAAGTTACTTTAACATAAAAGAAGCCCCGGCTGTGTGGCTTGGTTGGTTGGAGTGTTGCCTCTCACAGTAAAAGGGTTGTGGGCTGGATTCCTGGTAAGGGCACATGCCTAAGTAGTGGGTTCAGTCCCCTGTCAGGGCACATGCGGGAGGCAACCGGTTCATCTTCCTCTCACGTTGATGCTTCTCTCCCTCTACCCCTGCACCTTCCTCTCTCCCCCTTCCTCCTCCCCCTCCCTCTCTCTCTAAAAGCAGTTAAAAAATACATGTCCTTGGGTGAAGATTAAGAAAATTTCTTTCCATGTAATCATAAAACAAATTATTCAGCCTTGTTTTTAGCTGCTTAAACCTTTATATTTTGATGACTTTACACACATACCAATTTTTATACAGGTATTTTACTGCATGTGTCTGTCTTTGTGACGAGCTATATTTTCGAAGTCCTGTTAGGTTCATAGTTAGATTCTTTGCACTTAGTGTGTAATTCATGTTTGAATGACAGGGCTAAGCAGCACAATTGCAAATCTCCTGCTTTAAATCAAATATGCTTCTAGCTCTAAAACTTTTTTGTTTGTTTATAAACTATGCAGATGATGACTTTTGTGTTTGTTTTCCCCCCTCTGATTTAGGATAAAGTTGATAGTATCCAATTTTGTAACAACGGTGATAGGTAAGTGTTGTTTGCATTTGTGCATATGTTTTTAGGCATATATACTGTGCTTCATATTAGTATAGGTAATATGTCATTTTGTACATTGCAGGTACTTATTAGTAAATACATATATTAATTGAATGAAAAGTCTGGGGCAGTGGGAAACATGAAATACAAGTTTTTGGAATTTAGTTTTTTCTGTCTCATGAGACCAAATGTAGGTCTCCTTTAGTTTACGTCAGCTAAATTTCTGATTTACAGGAAAATTAAGTGAAATTCTTTTTAAAAAATATATCTTTATTGATTTCAGACAGAGAGGGAGAGAGAGAGAAACATCAATGATGAGAGAGTCGTCACTGATCAGCTGCCTCCTGCCCACCCCCAACTGGGGATCCAGCCCGCAACCTGGGCATGTGCCCTGACCGGGAATCGAACCTCGATCTCCTGGATCCTAGGTTGATGTTCAACCACTGAGCCACTCCCGGCTGGGCAGTGAAATTCTTTATGTTTGAGTAGTTAAATCTTTTCTCATCAATGACTGGGCTGTATCCTTCAATGAAATTATCACTTAGATTTTATCTTTTTTTTGTGTGATTCCCAATATCTCTCAGGCATCTTTCCTAATCTGAAGCTTTTAACACTTTGTTAAAAGATTATTTTTGCACAGTGACCAGCATGAATCAATTTGAGTTTAGAGTTAAGTTGCTTAGAATGGAGCTTTTGTTCTTACCAACTTTTTAAATATGTCTTTATTGATTTCAAAGAGAGGAAGGGAGAAGGGGGAGAGAGAGATAGAAAAACCAATGAAGAGTCATTGATCGGCTGCCTCCTGCATGCCCCCTACTGGGGATTGAGCCCGCAACCTGGGCATGTGCCCTGACTGGGAATCGAACCATGATCTCAACCGCGATCTCCTGGATCATAGGTTGATGCTCACCTGCTGAACCATGCCAGCTAGGCACCATATGTCTTTTAGTCTTCCTGTTTTTCCCCATCTTCCAGATGTTGTCTTCTCAATCTATTAGACAAGCTATTGTTTGCGTTTGAAACGTGCTTTACTTTGTAAAGCCAGGCACATCATAGCAAACCAGATTTTTTTTCCATTCAGATATAACCTAGAGCTCTCTCTTTTGACTTAACACCTATAGATTTACCTGCAGTCAAGAGTGCTACATTAAAAATTTTTTTGCTTGTGATTTTTAACTAGCTGTTGGTGGCATGTATCTAAGTATAAGGTCGTTTTTCCTCCTTTTTTTAATATTTAAGGTTTTTAAGTGGTAGCAGAGATGGAACAGCACGGATTTGGAGATTTGAGCAGTTAGAGTGGAGAAGCATTTTATTGGATATGGCGACTAGAATCTCAGGGTAAGTTGAGATGGTTTGTTGTAAGTCGATACATCATAAGTACTTGGTTTCTCCCTGGTTAGTTACCTCCTGTTACGAAGAGCTAAATGGAAGTGAATGGTGGTTACCTCTTGCATGTCTGATATAGATACTTAAATTTCAAATATCCAGAAGAATTTATTCTTAACATTTATTTAGGAAAGAATAACATATTTGTTCTGTTTCTCAAAGCATTGACTTCCTCTTAGGTGCTGCATTTAAAACCACCTATAATTTTTTTATATATATATTTATTTGATTTCAGAAAGAGGAAGGGAGAGGGAGGGAAGAGAGAAAGAGAAACATCAGTAATGAAAGAGAGTCATTGATTGGCTGCCTCTTGCACGCCCCCTACTAAGGATCAAGCCTGAAACATGGGCATGTGCCCTGACCAGGAATTGAACTTTGACCTCCTGGTTTATAGGTTGATGCTCAGCCACTGAGTCATGCCAGCTGAGCACCTATAATTTTTAAGAGATACAAAAATAACGTGGGTATGCCCTGGCTAGGTAGCTCAGTTGTTCAGAGCGCCCTTATAAGCCAAAGTTGAGGGTTTGATACTCGGTCAGGGCACACACAAGAATCAACCAGTGAAGGCATAAATAAGTGGACCAGGAAAACAGATGTTTCTCTCTTTCTCTCTTCCCCTTCCTCTTTAAAATCAACTTAAAAAAATATAAAAATACTCAAGCATGTCAAATACAGAAATTTTACTTTTCTGTAGATAGGATTTTTGGAATTAAAAAAAAAATCACTGTAGGTAAATCTGAAGAATAAAGTACACAGTCAGCTTATTGTTAAGGTCAGAAAGTTGTGCTACATTGGGAGTGATTTTTTCCCCCTACACTAAAATTTTGGCTTCTAAAAATAGTTTTGAAGGCAAGTTTGTCCTGTCCCTAGCTCCCAATGCTTCAAAGTTTTACACATGTTTTTGAGCATCTTTGAGGTAAGCTTAGCACTTCCCAAGAGAAATATTACAGATTTGAAAAATACTGCTGTTTTTGTTTTGTACATATTGCGAGGCAGTCCAAGTTATGGGAAGAAGACATGTTCTGGGATCAGACCTGTGTTCAGACACTACTTAGATTGTTTATAGCTATATAATTTTGAGAACATTATTTTATATTAGTCTGTTTTATCATCTGGGAAATAAAATAACCTCCCTTTAAGTATTACTGGGAATTTTATGTTTCATTTTTTTAAAACGTTTTCATTGATTTTTAGAGAGAGAGGAAGGGGAGAGGGATAGAAACATTGATGAGAGAGGAACATCAGTCTTCTCCCTCCTGCATGCCCCCTTGGGGATCAAGCCCACAACCCGGGCATGTGTCCTGAATGGCAATCGAACTGTGACCGATTGGTTCCTGGGTTGATACTCAACCACTGAGCCATACCTGGCCAGGCCATTATTGGGAATTTTAAATGATAGGATGAAAGATGCTAGCACACTTCCTTGTCCAGAGTAGGCATATCAGTGTTCTTTTGCCCAGTACAGATATTTACTTTAGTTACACTTTAATAGAAATCTGAAGTTACAAATTTTAGTTTAGAGTTTATACTTTTTCATAACAGTTTTTCTGGGAAATGTTATACATTTTGTCTTTTGGAAGTCCTTATGTCTCCTTTATTTTCAGTAATTGTAGGAGAAATTAACTTACATTCTCTGCTGTGGCTCAAACAGTTGTACTGGGTTTCAAAATAAATTTCATCTTAATATTTTTGTGGAATGATCTGTGGTAAAGGTTGGAAGGAATGTGTACTAGAAATCTGATAATCCTTGTTCACAAATAGGTCTTTACCATTATTTAAAAATGTTGCACCTGGATACTCAAAAGCATGTTGATGTGAGAGGGAATACGCAGTGGAAAGTCACTCCTTGATTAGTTGAGATGAGGAACAGGAGTGAAGAGCATTCGAAACCATATTCACATATGAAGAATTGTTTATTAGGAAAATAGGAACATTGGTGTAAACACTGGAATAAAAAATAAAAAGATGAGACTGAAAACTGCTTAGTGTTCTTGCTGCCATGCTCTTCCTGGACAGAACTTTTCCTGTAATTCCCTTTGTGGTAGAAATATTCTTTTCTCATGTAAAGTTTTGCCTCTTTCAGATCTTGAAAAGCAGAGTTTCCTGTGTGTAAGAATTGGTGGGTGTGTTTGTTTCACTGTTCTAATCTTGGCTCATCAACGCAATGAACTCTAACAAGTCTGTTAGTAAATTCAAGGTTATTAAGAGGGAATACCTATTAGTTTAAAGGGGAATGTGGAGTCAGTCTTTCTTACATTTCCTCTCTTTTATGTTACACTTTTTCTTTGACAAATCTAGTAAGAATTATTCTCTTGTCTGTGTTCTACTGTTTACATAGATAGCTATTACATATCACTTTCTGTACTCTTATAGCCATTTTCTTTAAAATATTTACTTTATTACATGTTTATAATTTTTCAAAATGTGTATGATTTCAGAAGCCCCTAGGCCTTTCCTCACCTTCCCACTGTTTACTGCTGACTATTTTACAGACGAACTTTGCATATCACTTTCCTAAAGGCTGCAATGCATTGTAGACACATGTATCCAAGATTATTCTTACCTTGGGGCCCATAGGAACATTCTATAGGGAAGTATAAAGAGATGAGTACAGTCGTGTTTACAGTTCAGCAAATTGAGCATCTGTGTGTCAGACACTTCTGTACATTGGGGATATGAAGATGAATTAACTTCTTTCTGTCTTCCTAAAATTTTTTGTTATCTCTATAGAGAGAAATAGTTAATACTATTGTTAGGGCTTGAGTTCGGAAGAAAAGAATAATAGAAAAAAGGTAGAAGAAAAAAACTTCGCTCTTACAAGTAGCAGTAGTGTCCTAAAATCTGCCTTTATATAGTCTCAGCACTGCTGCTTAATTGTCCCCTCTCCCTTTGGGTTTTGCCCCAGTGTGTTTATAGATAATCTGTTAGGGATCAGATATGGTGAACCCTATATAGACTTGGTAAGGTAAGCACAGGAACTTTATTTTTGTATAGATAAGGACTTGTATACATTGTTTAGCCTACCATCTAGGTAAATTTACACATTGTGTATTTTTTTCTTAGGGACTTAACTTCTGAAGAGGAAAGGTTTATGAAACCCAAAGTAACAATGATAGCTTGGAATCAGAATGATAGCATTGTTGTCACAGCTGTGAATGATCATGTCCTCAAAGTGTGGAATTCTTATACTGGACAACTGCTTCATAACTTGTTGGTAAGTCTTATCCAATATAACAAATTAAGATTTTTTTGAACTATAATTTTATTTTTAAAGCTATGAATTTAATGTATTAAACATGTTTCACTTACATTATCAAGTAAATAGAAATTTGTACATAAACTGATAACAATGACTGTCAATACATTTTTAAAAGCCCTTATTCACTATGACAACATGAGTTTTTAAATGGAAACGTAAAACTTGCAAACCTTCCTTAACTATATGACTTTGTTGAATAAAGGGACATGCTGATGAAGTATTTGTTTTGGAAACACATCCCTTTGATTCCAGAATTATGTTGTCTGCGGGACACGATGGCAGCATATTTATATGGGATGTTACAAAAGGCACCAAGATGAAACATTATTTTAATATGGTAAGTGAAGTCCAGTGTGTCTTCCTGCATGTTTGCATTTGTTTCAAGTACCCGGATTATAAAATTTAGTCAAACAGATCTGCATGTTTTGGCAGTTTATATTTCTAAAAATCGGGGAATTTAAAGCCTAATAAATATCTGACAGCCAAACGTACATACATACATGAAATTTTCTGTATAGCTGATTCACACGAGGGAAAGATTTTCAAAAGTTACTTAGCTTTGTGTGTATGGCTGAATGTGTGTCTGTCTGGGTTTAAATTGGCAAACTTATGGTAATTATACACAACTTGAAACTTCACAGCATTACAGATTTTACATGGTGGTCAGTCATCTTAGTAGCAAGTTTAAACTCCAGAAAAGTATTGATTTGAGTTAAAGAATATCACACTTTATTAATCTTAAATTATTTACCTTATAGATTATTAGTCAGTAGCCTTTTATGTTTGTATTAAAACAAAGGTTTACAAAGGTGCTTGTCATTCACTTGTCAGAAATAAAGCCTTCACTTTGGATTGGTTTATGATCCTTTATTCAGTCATTTTGAGAACAAATTCTTAGAAAATCTTTTAAGAATTCTTCTAGGTTAGTGGTATCTAAAGTGAATTTTAGCCCTGGCTTTTGTGGCTCAGTTGGTTGGAGCAATGTTCACACACCAAAAGGTGGTGGATTTGATTCACAGTTGTATATACCCAGGTTTCGGGTCCGATCCCCTGTTGGGGCGCATATGAGAGGCAACCAATCGATCTTTCTCATGTCGATGTTTCTCTTCTCTCCCTCTCCCTTCCCCTCTCTCTAACCTCTTCCCTTCCCTCTCTTCTCAAATCAGTTTTTAAAACTGTGAATTTTATTTCCTGAAAATATAAATTGACATGCTTAATGAAAAAATCTGTTTTTCAACATGAAAACAGTTGATGTAGCAAAAGCATGTGCATAAAGTTGGTCATAACTTTGTCCCCCCCCCCCTTTTTTGTTTTGTTTTGTTTTGTTTTGTGAGCATGTGCCAAACTTTTATTCAACTAATGAATGAGGCTTTTTTCCTCTGTTCCCTAGATTGAAGGACAAGGGCATGGAGCTGTATTTGACTGTAAGTTTTCACAGGATGGACAGCATTTTGCCTGTACAGATTCTCATGGTCACCTTCTGATATTTGGTTTTGGATGCAGCAGGCCATATGAAAAGGTCATTTTAAATATTTTCTTACAGTATGTAAGATAAGTACTTACAAAAGATATTTTTTCTTTGTTTTTTCTAATTATAATTAACTGCTTAACATTTGTTTTCTTCTAACATGTATAAACCTCAAAATACCAGTCTGTAAACTTCCTTTTTTTCTTTTTCTTTAAAATTCCCTTTTATAGATTCCTGATCAGATGTTCTTCCATACCGACTATCGACCACTGATTAGAGATTCTAATAATTATGTCTTAGATGAGCAAACCCAGCAGGCTCCTCACCTTATGCCTCCGCCATTCTTGGTAGATGTAGATGGAAATCCTCATCCAACTAAGTATCAGAGATTAGTACCAGGCCGAGAAAATTCTGCAGATGAACATTTGGTTCCACAGCTAGGCTATGTGGCAACAAGTAAGTGCAAAGTCCTCTTTTTTTTTTTTTAAACTGTTTTTTGAAAGATGTAAAGAAAAATACAAAGAACTCTTGTACTTTCAAAATTCACCAGTTGTTAATAGTTTGTAATGTATGTTTTATCATTTATCTCCAGATACATATTGTTTTGAACCACTTGCTTAAGTTCTGGACCTCGTGTTCAGTTACCCCTAAATACTTTGTGTTTTCTAAGACCAAAGATACTCTCTTATATAATCATAAACAATAATCAAAATCAGGACATAAAGCACTCAGGTAATACTGTTAGCAAATGTATAGTTTAATCAAATTTTGTCTGTTATTCTAGTCACGCTTATTACAGCGTTTTTGGTTCTCCTAATGTAGGTTTCAATTTGGGGACTGCACATTAAATTTAGTTGTCATTGATTAAGTCTGGTTATGCATTTTTGGCAGATACAACATAAACAATGTTGTAGCCTTCCTGGAGCATCATCTCAGGATGCTTATGATTGCGGTTTTTTCAATGGTAATGTCTTTGGACACTCAGTTAAGGTGGTGTCTGCCAGGTTTTGCCACAGTAAAGTTACTTTTTTCTTTGTAACTAGTAAGTAGTTTGTGGGAACATGGCGTAGTGCCCTGTTCCTTGTCAGACTCGCGTTCTAGAGCTCACTGATGATTTTTGCCTGAATCAGTTGTTACTTGAAGTTGAGAAATGATTTTTTTCTAACCCTGTCATCACTGAGCCTACATTTTATTAGTTGTCCTTCCACTACCCTTCCTTTTATTTATTCATGTAATTCATTAAGTTTTAGCTCGATGGGTTGTAATGTAGTGGGTTATAGTCCAGCACTGTTACTCTTTTGTTGCTCATGTTATCCTTGGATTTGACTATGAGAGCCTTCTTAACATGAGTTTTGTATCTTCTCAGGTCCCCTTGAGCACTTCCTTACTTTTTGGCATAAGATGTTCCAGTCTCATCTTGTACTTTGCTTGTCCTAGCGAAGTACATCGTTTTTGTATTTTTTCATAGCAGTGCAATATTTTTCCTGAATTATTATTGCGCAAAGGAAAAAAATGCATCTGCAGGCATACCTTGGAGGTATTGCGGGCTCAGTTCAGACCACTGCTGTAAAGCGGAGAATGCAGTACAGCAGATCGCATGACTTTCTTAATTTCCCAGTGCATATAAAAGTTATGTTTACACTGTACGGTGGTCAGTTAAATTTGCAATAGCATTATGTCTAAAAAATGTACATTGCTCAATTAAAGAATACTTTATTGCTAGAAAGGGCTCACCATCATCTGAGCCTTCAGCGAGCTATAATCTTTCTGCTGATGCAGGGTCTTTTCTTGATGTTGATGGCTGCTGACTGATCAGGGTGGTTGTTACTAAAGTTTGAGGTGGCTGTGGCAATTTCTTTAAATAAGACAACAACAGTGAAAATTTGCCATGTTCTTTGACTCTTCTTTCACAAGTAATTTTTCTGTGGCGTGTGATGCTGTTTCATAGCATTTTATCCACAGTAGAACTTCTTTCTGTATAGGAATCCTCTCAAACCCTGCTGCTGCCTTACCAACTAAGTTTATGTAATATTGTAAATCCTTTGTCATTTCAACCGTCTTTACAGTATCTTCAGGAAATTCCTTCTCAGGAAATCACTTTCTTTGCTTATCCATAAGAAGCAACACACCATCTGTTAATGTTTGGTCATGAGATTGGATCAGTTCAGTTACATCTTCAGGCTCCACATCTAATTCTAGTTATCTTGCTGTTTCCACCACATCTGCAGTTAACTCCTCCACTGAAGTTTTAAACTCCTCAAAGTCACTCACGAGGGTTGGAATCAACTTCTTCGAAACTCCTGTAAATGTTGATATTTTGACCACTTTCCATGAATCACAAGTGTTTTGTGTGTGTGTGTTTTAATCCTCACCTGAGGATATTTTCCACTGCTTTTCAGAGAGAGTGAGGGGGGAGAGAGAGTCATCAATGTGAGGGAGAGACAATTGGTTGCCTCCTACACGAGTCCCAACTGGGATCCAGCCTGCAACTGAGGTATGTGCCCTTGGTCAAAATCGAACCTGGGACCCTTCAGTCCACAGGCCAAAGCTCTAACCACTAAGCAAACCGGGTAGGGCACAAATGTTGTTAATGGCATCTGGAATGATGAATCCTTTCTCAAAGGTTTTCAATTCAACTTTGCCCAGATCCATCAGAGGAATCACTATCTGTGGCAGCTGCAGCCTTAAAAATGTTTCTTAAAATAGTAAGACTTGAAAGTCTAAATTACTCCTTGACCTGTGGGCTGCAAAATGAATGTTGTGTTAGCAGGCACGAAAACGTTAATCTCATTGTACATCCCCATCAGAGCTCATGGGTGACCAGGTGCACTGTCAATGAGCAGTAATATTTTGAAAGGAATCTTTTTTCTGAGCAGGAGGTCTCATCAGTGGACTTAAAATATTCAATAAAGCGTGTTTACTTTCAACAAGCTTCTCACTAAGCTTCATCATTTCTAGCTTTTGATTTAACGTGAGAGAGATGGCGGCTCTTCCTTTGACTTGAACACTTAGAGGCCATTGTATGGTTATTAATTGGCCTAATTTCAGTATGGTTGTATCTCAAGGAACAGGGAGATACAGGAAATGGCTGGTCAGTGGAACAGTCAGAACACACACAATTAAATTAGCCATCTTATATGGGTGTGGTTCTTGGCGTCCCAAAACAATTACAATAGTGATATCAAAGATCTCTGATCACAGCCCTGGCTGGTGTGGCTGAGTGGTTAGAGCATCGGCCCAAGTACTGAAGGGTCGAGGATTAGATTCCTGGTCAAGGGCACGTACCTGGGTTGCAGGTTCAACCCCTGGCTCCAGTGGGGGCAAGTGCAGGAGGCAACCAATCGATGAGTCTCTCTCACATCGATGATTCTCTCTCCCCTCCTCCCCTCTTTTTCCTCCCCCTCACTCCCTTCTAGTCTCTCTAAAAATCAGTGCAAAAAATATTCTTGGGTGGGGATTAACAACAACAAAAAAAAGTTCCCTGATCACAGATCACCATAACAAATGAGTTTGAAATATTGCAAGAATTACCAAAATGTGACAGAGACATGAAGTGAGCACATGTTGTTGGAAAAATGGTGGTGATGTACTTTCTCAATTCAGGGTTGGCACAAACCCTCAGTTTATAAGAAGCAAACCATACTATCTGTGAAATGCAATAAAGTGAAGCATGGTAAAATGAGGAATGTGCTTGTATTTTGTTTGGATGAGCATGGATTTACTGAAACTGAATCACCAGGTTAAGCTTAATGTGAAGCACTGTATGTTTACTGTTTCAAATGTTTATTCTCTTAGTTTGATGAAATCTCCTTTGCATCCAACAAAATTCACTATTTTTAAGTGCACTGTTCAAATGAGTTCTGACAAATGTTAGTCATGTAACCACCACCACAATCAAGATATAGAACATTTCCATTTCCCCAAAAAGTTCTCTTGGGCCTACTCGGAGTCAGTCTTCTTCCTTCTTCTGGCCCCTTTGTAACTTCTGTTTCATTTTGTCACTTTAATTTTGTCTTTAAGGAATTTTGTACAAATGGAGTCACACAGTCTGTGTAGTCTGTGTCTGGCTTCCTTCTCTGCCATATTGCTGTTTGCTGTTTCTTTATCCTTTCTGTAGTCGCCCCTTTCTCTCTTTTCTGCCTTCTTTGGTTATATTTTTTAGTGTTTCTTGTTATCTCCACTAATGTCTTATTAGCAACACCTGTTTGTCTTATTTATTTTTAATGGTTGCTATAGGTCTGGAACTGTCAGTGTGTGGTTTGCAGACCCATCGTTTTACCACGCCCTTTAATGGGGTCTTTGAGGTCACAACCATCTTTATAATAGGGACATTTTATTTGCCTTTTTTACACTGTTGACATTTGTACAGATGGAACAAAAGCAATGGTGGGTAAACTTTTGGCACCTTAGCACAGATCAAGGCCTTGGCACCAGACTACTAGCAGTCCCTGTGTTCTTTACTGCCTTGAACACACATTTAAAAATATCCTTTGTGTTAAAATTAAAGGTGTGCAAAAAGCAGTCCTGTGTGCTGTGAAGTCTCTCTGTTCTGCCTATGAGAACACAAACTATCTCCAGCCCTGTGAGAGCTCTGGGATTCCCCCTCCCCACCCCACCCACATAAG